ATATAAAATTAGGCAGTACAGTTGTAGACCAACATATTGCCTCTAAAGATGAAGGTTGTTAGATCAACTTTCTGTTCTCCAGGTACTCCAGTTTTCTCTCACAGACCAAAATCATATTTATTATATGACATAAGAAGCAAAACACTTAATTTGGGATAACACTACAGTAGATGTAGTTTGTAATTTTGCTTGTTTTAGTCTTTATTTCCAGTTTTGGGGTTTTATAATCAGTTTTTCTTCACAAAAATAAACATCAATAAACAAAAAAAAATTTAACATACATGGAAGAGGTGATGCCTTTAAATTTTAAAAAGTTGTTCCTTGTAAATGTCTTTAAAATATGTATTTTGTTTTTGAAGGGAGCTGTCCCCATCAATTTAAAATTTAAGTCATTTAAACCCCCACATTTACCATAAAACATTAGTTCATCCAGTGTTTCTCTTGCTTAACAAATAAATTTATTTCATTTTACCTGTAGAAAACTCACATTAAGTGTTTTCTTATGTAGGTAAAAATCTGTTTAACAACCTGTTAAAATACACCAGAATGCAGGAAACGGCATTTTACTTATGTTAAAATTTTCTGGGGGAGGACACCCAGACCCCCCACCAGTGGGTCCTCCCAACATTATACTTATTCTTATTTTTTGTCTCTGAATGTAATAAAATCAGTGATATTATCTGTGAAAATACAAATTTTTAATCTGTTGGCATCCATAGTTTTATATTTCCATAGTTTTCAATTAGTCATTTTTACAAACATAAAATTTCTGTTATAGATATTAGTTTTGGTGTGCCACCCCTGGTTTTTCAGTGGCCCCCCCTAAAAAAATTTCTGCAGGCGCCACTGCCAGCAGCTCCTCTCACATTAAAACAAAACAAACTCCTCCACCTGTCTGGTCTCATTAGGCCTCTTCTATATAAAGACGTGTTTGTGAAGCCACCAGGGCACAGGAGCAGCAGATTACAGAGGACACTTTGTGTTTTTCTGTTCCCACGCTGGCTAACACAGTGAGGTGCATCATTAACATGTAGAGCTTCAGGCCTGAAGAGGGCCCTGCAGCATGGCTGACCTGCAGAACTGCGTCCGGCTCGCTGCCCTCCTCCACCATGTGCACCTTGGCTCGACCGTTTCTTTCGTTATCTCTGATGTCAATCGCCACCTGAGAGGCTTTCAGCCGCTCGAAGCGGTTACACTCACTGCCGCACCACTGGTACACGTCCTGCAGGGGGAGAACCAGGTTAGAACATCTGCAAATAAGATTTACTGTAAACGTCTGAGGACAAAAACCTGAAAGGTGGCCTTCTGTCAACAAATAAAATTACAACAAATGGGAAATTAGTTTTTTATGTACATCGTGAAACCAAACGTAACTAAAGAAATAACTCTCGTCTATTTCTGTAAAATCACAGATTGATTTTTAAATCATAACATTTCTAGCTGAAACTGACTTGTTAAAGCTTAAATAAGCAAAACAATGACTTAAAGATAAAAGTAGCAAAATAATAGCTAAAAGCCAAATGTTGCAAAGTGATAGCTAGAAATAAGGAAACATGTAAATTAGGGGTGCAACAATACATGTACCTGTATCAAACCATATCAAACAGTGCTTTAGTTTCAATACACTCTTGTATATGGAACAATACAGATTTTAAATTTTATTTTATCAACTTGTCTTCTGAAGATGCTCTGTGTTGAAGGATCAGTGGATCTGTGTTCGACTACTCCACCTAGGCTGYATTTTKGAGCACAGATCCACTGAGAAACTTGCTGTTTCAGCAACATTTAATTTAAAAACTGTACTTTTGAGGTTAAACAAATGTTTATAATTAATTTAAATAAATTACAAGTTAAAAGGGGCATGGACATTTCTCTTTTTTATATCGAAAAAATATCGAACCGTGAATTTCCTGTGTCGTTGCACACCTAATGTAAATGTTTCAAATAGAAAAGTGTACAAAAGAGTATCAGAAGCTAAACATAGTAAACTGCAATAATGAGCTAGCTAAAAACTAAAAGGAAATCAGTAGCAAAAAATGTTTAGCTAAAAGCTAAAAGTAGCATATAAAGGTAAAAACAGATCCAGCAGCTAAAGTGAATTTTAGAGGAACTGAAGAGATCTGAATGTGTTTCTGTGTAAAATATTTGTAAATAAAGCTGAAGTCGTAGCTGCTCTCCTGAATGAGACAAACTTTCTGATATTTGAATGGTTAAAATAACAGAAACAATGTTTTTGTTTATGAACTGATTGTTTCAGAATATCAGGCAGGAAATCCACAGACAACAAAATAAAATAAGGTTTTTTGTTTGTTTTCAGAGAATTGCCCATTTTCTCTCATTTCAGATTGTTTTAACTCTTTGTCTTATTTTGATCAGCTGTCTGTGTTTCATCACTCATCAGGATTTAAACTTGTGTTTCTTGTCTGATCCTCAACATTTCTGTCTTTTTTCACCCAACTGGTTTATCTTTTTACAACCATCTGTTTTTGACTCAACTTCACCTCCACTGCTTCTTTCAGCTGCTCCCTCAGYCTCCACAGAGGATCATCTGCTGCCATCCCATCATTTCCCAGCATGCTCCTGTCTCATCATCACCTGTCCCTCTCATTCACACATTTTATTCCTCTTCTCTCCACTTCATACCTCCACCTGTCCAGGTTCTCTTCCACCTGCTCCCTACTCTCACTACAGATCATAGATGCTGTCAATCAAACATTGAGCACGATTCCCAACCTCTTCTGTCAGCCTCTCCATCAATCTGTCAAACACGAAGGGTCTTAGAGCTGATCCCACCACCCCCACCTGGAACCCACCTGTCACTGCTGGCTGGTGGAGCTTTAAACCCTGACAAACTGCCTGTGATGGTGGGCTTAGAAGGCAAACATAAAGCTGAGTCTGGATTTTGTGTTCCTGTCTTTAATAAACATAATGCATGAAGTATAAAACAAATAATTCACTCCAACAAGTTGATGTGTTACCCAAAACCCTGCTGAATACCAATCAGCATCAGATGCTTTTATGGCTTTAAAATACTTCTGTGATTAGTTTAATATAGTCCTCCGGTRATCAGAGCCCGTATTTATCAAACTTCTTAGAATTACTCTTAAGAATGCTGCTAAGAGTGGACTTAAGTGTAAAAAAAACTTCTTAGTTAAAAGCTGA